CTAAAACCATACATCACCTTCACATAAAATTACATATGCACAATCAATCCATTCAGGGGAACAACATATTCAAAAATGGCACAAATCAGACAAGGGGTTCAAAAGTTAGTAAAAAGTCCTTTGTGACTAAATGAAGCATGGCTTTCTGGCCCAAACCAGTTTCAGAGTCTTCTATCCTGGAGATAAGTAATTCAATTATCTCCCAGGACAGACACAAGACTCCATTAAGCACATGGTTGCAAAAGACACAAAACACTTTAAAATACATAAAGTCACATTTATTACATAAAACACAGACATGTAACATATCCCCAGATAGCTCAGGTCCGAGCGCACATTATTAAGCGAATGGCGCTCAGACCACACGAATACAGTTTAATCGCCATGGAGCCAAAGTCTTTACGGTCAGTTTCATACGAATGGGCTCCATGGGATTCCTATCTGGGGTGTAACACATTCAAACAAATCTACCGAACCCCAGGCAGAAAAGCACGAATGAAGCTTTTCTGCAGGTAAAAAAAAGATGTCTTTTAACAGGGGGCCATAGTCCAAAGGCAGCAGGCGAGCAACCAGGCTTCTCCAATGCAATGTCGCGAGATTGGTCTCGTCACAAAGATATATCAAGCAGATCGCCTATGTTTTCTGACCCAAATATATACATTTGAACCACGCATTGGCTTTTTTTAATACAAGCCGCAAAACTGCAAAATGTAATACCCACTGTCATTGCAATAATAAAGAATTATAAAAAAAAAAAGTACATGAAAAAGTTAATGGACGGTGAGCTTGAGATTGTGGCACCCCATGCACTCACCTTACTTCCCTCCTTCTTTGTGCTGCCCAATGCAATAATCAGCTATTAGAGAAACCTCAAAATATTCTAGTTGTTCAGTAGATCTTTATAAAAATGTTAATTTAATAGAAATGACAGGACCATTACAAACTACCTACCAATGTACGTTGCTACATTTTTCATGAGCATTTTAAAAATTATTTCTGATGGGTGTTCTGTAAGCATTGATGTATGAAAAAAATATATGGTACTTTTCTTGTTTCAGGAGCCTGTACATTGGAAAATAATTATTGTTCAAAAATGTGTGAGAAAACCACAGACAGTCAGCACTGTAAATGTATGGAAGGCTATACGCTCTCTCCCAATGGGAGAAACTGTGAGGGTAAGATGTAATTGACAAACAAGACCTGTAATTATATTATGAAATGTATTTAATACTCTGAAAAGAAACTTTATTTATTGTTTGTATTTTTTTTTTTATTATTTAAAAAGTGGTTGGAAGCTTAATGGTGGAAAGTGTGGTAGAAGGATGATATTTCGGACATAAACTGTGGAAATGTATGTTATTACTTGTCAGAGTCAAAAATGCAGAGACAACTGCTCATTAAGTGGATAAAATATAAAGATTTTCTATTTAACTCATTAATGACAAATGATATGTCAAGAATGATATTAAAGGGATTTCTCTAGCCACTAGTCCTTAAAGAGTTTAAAACATACTCCTCCCCCAACTGTGTTAAAGTTAAATATTTACCTAAGAGGATGAAGTGTAAAGACTGTGTAGACTTTTCAGATTCAGGTATGAGAGGAAGCATTCCAGGGTGGATTGTTTTTATTCTGTCCTGGGAAGTGCTTTTACAGTGGAACTAAACTCTCTATAAAAAACACGAATACAATATATGTTACCATTTCTCTCCTTTGTGTTTAGATATTAATGAATGTGCCCTGTGGAATCATGGGTGCACTCTGGGCTGTGAAAATATTCCAGGGTCCTATTACTGTACATGTCCTAAAGGTTATGTTCTTCTTCCGGACAACAGAGCATGCCATGGTAAGTCCACCTAGCAATGGGTCAGTTGACACCCGAGGCGGAGATGTATGTTGGTATCCATATAATTTTTGTAGATCCCTCCATTCTAGATGTCGGCAGAAGATAGTGAAACTTCTGCCTAGAGAGTGCACAGCCATGTTACAAAGAGTGACAGGCAGCACAGGGGTGCTCTATGTAACTCCCTGGTAACCCACAACACTCTGAACGTTTTAGTGCTTTCCAAACGTTCCATGTTGGTGACACACTTTTTAGACATGCATTATTTCGCGACACAATAAATTAGTTTTACTAGCAAACCAGAGATTAAAGTACTGCTGACCCCTTTTAAGAGATATGGACACATACGTAATTTGTAATAACGAAATAATAATAAATGTAATAATCAGATGATTATGCCCACATTGAGCTATATGTGTGTGATATTTCTGATGATTATTTAATTCAGATTAAAAATAAAAATGACAAACTCACACTGATCTGACAGGTTTATTGATGCACACATACTGACAACAAGCTCATTATTCATCGTAAGCTGTTTAGAGAATAAACCTCTGGAATGGTCAGGATTCTTCTGTCAGATAGGAGACTGGAGCAGGCATCCAAAATGCACCAAGTGAAGGGCCTACTGGAGCAGATACTGACACCAGTCAGCCATCCAGCTGCACTTCCTTGATCCCTCCCTCCCATCTCCACACGTACAGGGAAGGGGGCGGAGTGCATGGACGCTGCCTCATGGAATTAGATCAAATTGAATCACTGTGTTGTGCAGCAGGCGCCAGCAGGCAGAAGATAGAGCTCGGCACTGTGTGGCTGCCATCCTGAATTTTACTGTGTCTCTTTACAATCCTGTGGCATACGTGCCGATACAACGAGCTCCTGGAGGAGCCTGCTAGCTAGCCTACTGCCCAAGGACTATAGGCCATATACAAATAACCTGTTCGGGAGGTTAATCTCCCCAGCCACCATTAGCAGCTTTCCCTGGGTGGTCCTGGTTTGGCACTTTCCCTTCATTCGAATGGAACCGAACACTAGCTTCCTGGCGGCTGTTCGCATGAAGAAACCCACGAATTGTCCTCAGCTGCACTTAACCGCAATCGTTATGAAACTAAATTTAGTATGAAGACTTTGTGGGTTCCCTGACACCACAGCGAGACTTAGCCACGACTGTTATGGGTTTTGAACGCACCAGGAGAGCGCTTTTTGGAGGAAGGTGCGTGAGACTAAGGGGAATAAATGCTACCCAAGACCCAGGCGGAGCACCCCGTATTGCGGTCGCAGAAGCACCCGAAAGTTGACCGGCCAAAGCACCAAACTCCCTGGAAATGTTATGAATACAAAAAGAAAAGTCCTGCGCTCACTCCCATCACTCCTGGGCGGTAGCAATGACCACAGTACACATCAGCTCCAATACATTTAGTCCCTCCTTAATCCCTATGCATGTTTAAACAAATGGAGGTTATTTAGTTACTCCAATGGCCACTGGAGGGAATGCCCGCCTGCCAACGTCAAGGCAGACCCCCCTAGACGGGTCCTACTCTGACCCTTCACCTTGCTTCCTTGAGCTTCTGGCAAAGATATCTCTAATGAGACAGAAAGGGGTATTTTTTTATATACACCCCTATATACTTATTAACCCTTAATAGGGAACACATGGGATGGGCGGCAGCATTGTAACCTAGCTGCATGATACAAAAAGTGAATACAAATACAAAAAGAAAAGTCCTGCGCTCACTTCCATCACTCCTGGGCCACAGCAACGACCACAGTACACATCAGGGTATATATAAAAAATACCCCTTTCTGTAACACACTACACCCCTTGCACTCACATGCACACACAGTACACAAACTCTATACCCCCTAAACATACTCACAAAGTGTTTAAAGTGGCGTAGAGTGTGTGAGTGCAGGGAGTGTAGAGTATGTTTAGGGGCTATAGAGTTTGTGTACTGTGTGTGCATGTGAGTGCAAGGATATTATATGTCCTACACACACACACACACACACACACACACTCTATACCCCTTATATACACACCCCACACCCCTATATATTCACGCATGAACTCTATACATACACTACTCTACATCCTCTTTAAATAAACATACTATACCCCTACACACACTATACCACCTATGTACACATTATACCCGTATACAAACACTACTCCCCCTGTACACACATGCACACTAAACCCCCTATACACACTGCCACACCTATACACACATGTGCAACTCATATATGCAAACACAGACTAAAACTCTTAGATACACAATGCAATCCCCTGCATGCCTTAGAAACACACACACAGTACTGCTCATACATGCAAATACAACACCACCTAGACCCACACACTCTATAGGCTCTATAAACACGCGCACACATATTTTATGGCCCAGAAACACTCACACACACTATAGCCACAAATAGTACGCCACAAACAAACTACTTTACACACAGACACACACTGCAACACAAATCGTGTGAGTATAGAAATAAAATAACCAAGAAGGCAGTCCAGGAGCTCAGACTAAAGTGAAAAGCTAATGGGCTGCCCCCAGAGTAAGCCACCTGCTGTCCTTCTCCTTGAAAGAGGGGAATAACCATTAAAATGTAGACACAAGAGAAAACAGGGTCCCTCTGCTAATAGCATGGGATCCTAAGGAGAAGGATAACGGTAAGAGGTCAGGGAGCACATCAACACACATCTTATCTGCATACATGCAACCTCACAAGCAACTTCCAAGCACATAAAACACCACAGAGAGCATCCACACATACGCACAACACACCTTAACATCCCTGCTCCACTTTTGTTTTCTGGTATCCCACTATTGAAGTCATTAGAAAATGCAGCACATGCTTATTTTGCACCAAAAAAACAGCAGGACATTTACTCCACCCCAGAGCCGTGGATACTCTAGAGGGGCATCCCCAGGGCCAGATTAACATTGGGGCTTGTGGAGTTGCAGCTCCAGGCCCATGCCCATGAAATAGGCCCACTGATTTAAAAAAAAAAAACCAACACACTACTCTTAGGGTTTTCACCTGGCTGTGTCCCCATGTCTCCTAGTGCCCCAAATGTCTCAATGCCCCCATGTCTCTCAGTGTCCCCAGGTCTCCCAATGTCCCCTGTCTCAGAGTCCCCATGCCTCAAAGTGTCCCCATGTCTCTCAGTGTTCCTAGTGTCCTAGTGACATGGGGACCCTGGGAGACATGGGGACACAAACACTAGGGGACACTGAGAGACATGGGAATACTGGGGGACACAGCACGACATAGGGACACTGGGCGACATGGGGCATTGAGACACTGTGATACATATGGGCACTGTGATACGTAGGGTCACTAGGAGACCTGGGGACACGACACTAGGGGACACTGGGACATGGGGACACTGGGAGACATGGGGCACTCAGACACCGTGATACATAGGACGCTGTGAGACCTAGGGTAAACGACACATGGGGACACTGAGCTATGAGGGCACTGGGAGACATGGGGGCACTGGGAGACATGGGGATACTGAGACAGTGGGAGACTTGAGACACTGGGGGGACAGGGAGACACTGGGAGCAATCCATCTATACAGCAGCATCAAACTGTAAGTAGTTTTCTCTTATGTCAGTCCTTATGATTTACATAATGTAATGTCACCCATACATAATAATTATGCAAATTAGTAAGGCCGGTATGTTTTTTCCAAGAGAGGTGGCAACCCTAACTACTTTTCACATACTCTTGCTTAACTTGTGTGGACTGGCTGACAATGAAATTAGTTTAGGTATTGCTGACTTTGGTCTCTCTAACACTGTGGCATGTTCCCTTTTTTCTGCACTCACTCCATACACCTTTTCTTTGTCTATATACCAGGAGCTTCTGCCTGCTAGTAAGAAGGTAAGGAGACAAGTGGACCAGCGAGTGCTAGGGGATAGTCCTTAAAAAACGTTGAGCTGGTGCATCATTAGACGCATTTATGCCAAGCTCAGGGTGCTGTCTGCATGGTATGCCCTTAGTTGGCCTGCTTGCATGCCTTCCAATTCTTTGGGCAGACATGCCCCCTTTTTGGGCATGTTCACCCCTCTTGGCAGGTTACGTGATTTGCGTCAGTGGCACACTCTTTTACCACGCCCATTGACTTCCTGCTTCACTGGACTACTGTTAGGGGTTATGGATTTACTTGAAAGATGAAAACATAAATTAGAGAGAGATTAGCATAGGGTATTTCTTATAGCGCTGATTTCTTTCTCTCCAGCACCATCTCTATCCGGTACATGACGTTTGGGAGTGTTTAGTGTTTTTGGTCGATAAGATTCTGTAGGCCCATCATAATTGTCAGCACCTGGTCCACTGGGCTCTTAATCTGGCACTAACATACTCATTTGGGGGGGGTTTGGTAGGGGGCGTGCTTGTCATTGGTGATGACATAACATGGCCCCATTTTGATCTCACCCCTCCTAGTGGACTGCTCTGCCTTTGACTGACTGAACTGAACTGAATTTTTGTCCAAATCCAGCCCCCTTCCACCTGTTATGCAGGACGGACCACCTCGACCTATGCTTAGTACACTAATGCTCCTTTTTGCCAGTAAAAGAAGAGATGTGTCATTACTTACAATATATGATCCGTAACACTAGTAAAATAATGTTACCTTCTAGTACAGGGGTAGGACTACATTTTACTGATGCTTTGCCAGCATTATGGCTGTAAGGACTTTAAGCGTGATGTAGTTTACAACATCTGGAGTGCCAAAGGTTACCTATTCCTATTCTAGTGCTAAAATGTATTTTGAGAGTTTCTATTTATATAATGAGTTAACAGGTAAACCATTAGAGAGGGTCTCAGGGATGTTGCAGGTATGGAGATGGTCTGCAGTCACACTGCACCTACAGCATAAATGAACTCTATAAATGTTCTTGGATTTCGCTCCCTCTTGTAATTTTGTAAAAAATATGTCTGAGTAGTTGGAATAAAACAGCAGTGAGTAAGCAACTGTTCTTAAGCCTCTAGACAGTTGAGGTTCCTTGGGTGACTAACTGTGCAAGCCCTGACAGGATGTTAAAGCTCAAAATCTGGCCCCCAGGATTTTTGTAGTGTTAGAAATACAAACCTGTATTCGTAATGGTATAGTTCCCTACCCTGAATTAGAGTAGTGGACCCCTGTGAGTGATATAAATGAAGAATATAAAGGATTTACTTACCCTTTTCCAGTGCCGAGGCTTCCTCAGTGCTGTTGCCTCCCTGCTTTCCGTGACATCATCGAGGAGGCATGGCCTTTTTTAACAATGGTCGCCACTCCTCATGTAGAACCTTTAGTGACCTCTGACCTCTATGAGATCCACATAGAGAATCCACAAATGAGCTGCCTGCATCACGTGACCATGCAGCAGCAGTGGTGTATCCTGGTTTTGTGCTGCCCTAGGCAGGACAAAACTCAGGCGCCCCCCCCGCGCCACCCCCACCCAACCCTTCCCCCCGCCCCACCTTCTAAATACACACACACACAGTCAGACACACACACACACAGTCAGACACACACACACAAACACAGTCACAAACACACACAGTCAGACACACACACACAACACACACAACACAGTCAGACACAAACACACAGTCAGACACACACACAGTCAGACGCAAACACACACACACAAACACACAGACAAACACACACACAGACAGACACAGACACACACAAAACACACACACACAAACACACAGACAAACACACACACACACAGTCAGACACATACACAGACACACACACACACAGTCACAGTCAGACACAAACACACACACACATACACAAACACAGTCAGACACAAACACACACAGTCAGACACACACACAGTCAGACGCAAACACACACACACAAACACACACACAGAGACACACACACACAGACAAACACAGTCAGACACATACACAGACACAAACACACACACACAGTCAGACACAAACACACACACACACACAACACAAACACAGTCAGACACAAACACACACACAGAGTCAGGCACAAACACACACAGTCAGACACACACATACACACACTCACAAACACACAAACACAGTCAGACACAAACACACACAGTCAGACACACACACAGTCAGACACAAACACACACACACAAACACACAGACAAACACACACAGTCAGACACAAACACACACACAGAGTCAGGCACAAACACACACACACAGTCAGACACACACACACACACACACACATTAACTTTTTTTTTAATTTAAATCCCCCCCCAACCTCCTTACCTTTGGGAGTGCTGGGGGGGGTCTCTCTCCCTGGTGGTCCGGTGGTCCATTGGCTGCCGGTCGGGCGGGCGGCGCTGGCAGGCGGGCGGCCGGCGAGGGAGCTCTTCCCCTGAACTGACTGCTCAGCTCCCTCGCGCGCCGGCTGCAGAGTGAGGCTGGGAGCCGGAAGATGACGTCATCAACCCGGCTCCCAGCCTCACTCTGCAGCCGGCGCGCGAGGGAGCTGAGCAGTCAGCTCAGGGGAAGAGCTCCCTCGCCGGCCGCCCGCCCGCCCGGGATGTCAGTTAGCCGCAAGGCTAACTAGGCATTTGCCATGGGCATTTGGGGGGCGGCGTTTTTTGCCGCCCCTGAAAAATGCCGCCCAAGGCAAATGCCTTGTTTGCCTCGCGGCTAATACGCCCCTGTGCAGCAGAAGCATCTGTATTGATTGTCAGGAAGAAAGCCACTAGAGATGTGTTTAATCCTGAAATGTAACCCTCTAATAGTTACAAAACCGGCATGGTTTTTCCTATTGATTTACCTATCTCCTTTGTTTGCTAGCAGAATGTAAAGCCAGCTTCTGAACTATTAATTTCAATTTACAGCAACAAAAAAAAAAAAAACTTAATAGAATTTTCAGATTTGCCCAAGGTGAAAGGTTATATTCTAAACGTTCTACTCTGTGATTTATACATTATAAATAGCTGCACTCACTTTTTAAGTATTGAGTAGCTCTAAAGTGAATATTGTATTATAATATGCACAGAATCTCTCTCTTAGTGATGTGTTTGATGTGACCTCATTATCTCTTTAATTAGCAGAATATATCTACCATTAAATCTCATAGTTAAATGCAAAATACGATCTGAGTTGTGTGACCTTTTTCACTTTATACATCTCCCCTTTATAAACTATTCTGAGTGTTTGTGCAGGTCAGTTTGTTAATGCACTTACTGCTCTCACTTGAAAGGGTTAACGTCTGATATCATGTTAAAGCTTAAAATTTGTGATGAGGTATACCACCCTTTTTTATACCCTGGGCTCCTTGCTGAGTAACATTAGCATTAATAATTAAACTATTATATTTTTCTTTAACTGGCAGCTAGTGTTTGGCTGTGTCTGCCTTGTAAAGGAAGCTTTTATTGCTTAGCCAATTAGTTAAAAAGCTATAAAGTCATTTATGTTTCATGTTAATGGATTGTTATATTGTGTTGTCTGTGTTCACATGTACACTCACAAGAATGCTATTTTAGAATTACACAATGAAATAGCACAGCTAATTGCAGGAGGCATGTAAGGTGCAATTAAATCCAAGAAAATAAGATTTACCTAGTGTACAGCTTTTATTAAACATCAATTACATTAAAATTATACAAGCAATAACAGCATCAAGCATTCCAAAACAATAGGTTCTTAATTAGAGGGACAATTGTAAAGGAGGAGGTACATGGGCATCTCTCTTAAATTGCCAAAGTGTTGAATGATCCAGCCATTCTTTTGCATTCATAAACTTGGATAGAGCTTTGTAAAAGAGCTTTACTTGTAAATATAAAAAAAATAGTAAAATATATTATCATTAACAGCAGAGGAATACTCCCTGCCCTGCTAAGCCTTGCCTCATTTTATTACCTAAATTCCCTAATACAAGTACAGATTTCTGAACTATGGACTAAATTGTAAAGAACATAAGCTCAAAACAAATTCCTGAACATTTAAAACAAGTAGCCACACATCCATATAGTCACAAAGGGGAAACTCTGTCCGAGGACAAGAATTTACTAATTAGACCCTGGTTTGTATCTACTTGTGCAAATCTCTAACTACCCTAAAAAGCTGTGTGAAATATTAAGGAACCAAAGCTTTGAGCCTCTTGTGATTTATTCAGGTGGACTGAAGAAGATTCTACTATCATTTAATAATTGAAAACAAAGTAAAATAAAGGGCCAATGTCTACATTAGTCTGTTAATAAAATCAACATTTAGTGGCTATCCCCTAACTATCGATC